ATTATGATACACTAAGCTAGCCAAGAAACATAATTAAGATACTTGTTCTCATTAGTCAATTTTAGCAATCTTGAAGATAAAGTCAAAGTCATATCTCTGCAAATTTGATAGTATTTCAAACTTGCCAATTTTTATTAAACTTCCATACATTTAAGAGTGAAATTAATAGCAAAAGATCTAATTTCAACCTCTTAAAAAGATTTAGAATTGCTCAACAAATAAAAAGCTAATAGTTCCATCGTTGGCTCATCAAACCTGGCAATCTATTATTCATTTCTCAAGCCTAGTCACCCCTACAGGTAGTCCTTATAGTATTTGTATAAAAAGTAGTATTCAGCTTAGCTATAACAAAAAATCATTAGTGACTCTAAACGACATTGATAACTAACGATGTTCTCGTCTTGCTAATGAAGTACCCCCAACCCCAGCAAAAAAAATGCATCGCTCATTCGATTTTAGAAATGATTCATTATTTAAGTACAAAAATTAAGTTAACACAAGTATTCCTAAACTAAAGAACTTTGTAATTAAGTGTGCATTTCATATGTGCAAACCCTTTCTGTATAGAGAAACAAAGAATGTCACAATCTGACATCAATTTAGAGAGTCGTTGCTATAAATATTTACTGGGAAAGTTAAAGCAGTAAGGAACAAGAGTTATACTTACCAATTGGCTATAAACAAAGAATGACCTCCATTCACCCCACCCAATCCCCTGTTTTCTGCAACTTCCAAATTGCTAGCTTTTTCATAACTATTTTTAACAATAGGGATTCAAGGTCATAATGATATGTCTTTGAACTATGAAGAGAGACAAAATATGGAAATTAAAAAGTATCAGAGTTTTTATCCACTTCTATGAATTGGGTCCGAAAACATTTGACACAACACTACTAATTCATATATAAGGGATATGCCTGTGAGGTTTCATCCGTAAATCAAATTATTAATCAAGTTACAAAGGAATGGAAGCCAGTTATGATCAAGAATCTATTCTCTAAGGAAGAAAGGAAAGCAATTCTGGATATTCCTCTAACAAAGACAGCAGGGAAAGATAGGAGAATATGGGGGATAAATTTGAAAGGGGTGTATACTGTCATATTTGGCTATTCGATGGCACTTAGCCAAAGTCAGCAACCCCCATTAGAAGCAAGCTCTTCGTACATACCTCATCCAAAACTATGGCATGTGAACTGGCATATGAAGACTCTCCCAAAGGCTAAACACTTCTGGTGGAAGGCATGTAGTAATGCTTTAGCCACCAAGGAAAACTTTTTTAAGAGGAAATATGCGTTGTCCCCAATGTGTACTCTGTGTATGAAGAATCCTCTCAACTGGATTCAATTGATGATTTATCTCCAATGGAAATTTTGGGGAAAACCGCTACAATTGGATGGACTATTTGGAAGGTTCAAAATCAGAAGGTATTCAATCAAGAAGATCCAAATGCTCTGGTCACATTTCTGCGAGAGGTAATATCTCTTGACAATAAATCTCAGACAGAAACTCCTTCTACATCAATGCATATGGGAAACCCAAATTCCCCAAAGGAGATTTGGTGTTTGTATTAGCTGTGATGGTGCTTTCAAGGGAGATAGAGCTACAGTGGGTATTATTGTAAGGGACTCAAATGGAATGATTGTGGATGGCATAGCCAAAAGCATACCTGAGGTATCAAGCTTGTATTCTGAAGCAGCAGCAGTATGGAAAGCAGGCTTGCTGGCACAGACCCTCCTTCTACAACAAGCTACAATTGAGTGTGATAATATTAAGGTTATCAAACTCAGCTCAGCAGAGGGAGTTCCACCATGAAAAATCCACGCCTTCTTGGAAGACATCAGGCATTATGCAAAATCTCTTAAGTTTTTTACACAAGCCACGAACCCAACATAGGGCAGCTCATTGGTTAGCAGCATCTGCTATGGCCAACTATCTTCTTTTGAGTGGGTCAGTTGTCCCCCATTCGAGCTTCAGGCTTTCATATATTTTGATTGCAATCATTATTTTCCTAGTTGAATGAAATTCAAATTTACTGTTCAAGAAAAAAATCCAACTTCAAGTATGCAAATTATATTGATCAAATTGAGGTTGTTTACATTTCCTTTGCTTAGAGCCTTAGACAACTTCATCAGATTACAACACAAATAAATCCATAGACAACATCATGATTCTCTCATTTCACATTATTCACCATTTCATGATACTGTTTACATGGAAAAAGAAGAGATATAATGCCTTCCGCAACAAAGCATCAACTTTTTTTAAATTCTTCTTCCAACTAATAAATGTACAAATCAATGACACAATGGTCAATTTTTTTTATATAAACATTAAGGTAAGAGGATCATAAATTCACCTGGTTGGAAACAATAAATGGCTCTATATCTTGGTCAGCAATATTATCAAGCACAATAAGGGCCCTACACTCTATGTCTGACAAATTGTGTGCAAAATTTAGAATCTAAAACCCATAATACATATGCACAAATTAGGATAAACAACCAACAAAGAAAAATTAAAGCTAATTACAAAAGAATAGCGAGAAACCTGCTCACTGCTCAGCTGCACCATTGCTGACCATATTCAGTTTATCTGCGCTGTCAAAATGCGGTTAGATCGAAGAGAAGGAACAACTCAGACTGAAAAAAATATGGAAGTAATAACTCTTCATGAATGCCATCACGTGTTTTTATATCAGATAGTTACCAATATAGTGTTTCCATCCTTCCATCCATAGACGATTGAGATTGACAAATAGTCTAACATACCAACAGTCCACATAACTAATACCGTAACAAATAATATTAGTGTTATTATTATGACTTAAAAAGGGTACTATTGACATTAGTAATTTTATAAAGGATTTTGATCTCTGAATAGCTGGGACTTGTACATCTCTAGGAACACTCGATGACTCCCAGGAATCTGTGGTACTAACATATATTGTTATGGTATCTCCATCTGCTACAACTTTTGCATCCACCTAATAATACAAATCATATTTCATTATGCTAAACCCTCTTCATGAAAGAGGAATACGATTTTCAAATAGTTCTGATAACATTGATCTTACCGGAAGTGTCTGCAGTTCAAACAATCAGGACGTGATAGGGCAACCCCATCAGCAAGTTCAACCAGAGTATGTGGAAGAGCGGGACCAAATAAAGCCAGTAGACCCTATAAAACAAAGAAACCAGAGACACTTAAACCCCACACGTATTTACTTTGTTGTTCTAAGTATTTTAGAAGAATCTCAACAATAGTTTTTTAGTATTTACCTCAACGTCTGTCTTTTGATGTCTCTTTAAGGTCTGAATAACAAACCTGGAAGCTTCCTCGAGTGTTTTTGGTGAAGGTTTTGCTTCTCTCCATGCCATTGAAAGTTTCTTATACCTTCATTTGTTGCCCAATTTTAAAATAAATCAGTGAGAAAAAATGAGTTTAGATTCCATAATTGAATTACTAAAATCTTTTCCAATTACCAAACCAAGCCTTATGTTCCAACATTTGGGGTCAACTATGTGAGTCAGTATTCGCCATTTATTTACAACATTCAATTTACAATTACAAAAAAAATAAAATATATATATATATATATATATATATATATATTGTCAAGCAATTACCAGTTACCATGAGCCTTCTTGGATGAGACCACAAGCTTATTGAGTCCTTCATGAACCAACACAGAAATTAAGCATAGTGTTGAAGTGGGTATAATAGTTAAGTTGCCCAAATCAATAATTAGCTAAAATACTTAAGATTGTCACTCGACTTAACCACGACATGAAATCGAATCAGAAATGATGCAATAAAAGGGGATGATACATACCTGATTGGTGATTTTGTAGAGATAAAGATCATGGGCAAGGGCTGAAACACCTACAGTGGCCGTGGTTATGGTGACCCAGGGAATCAAAATCTACGATTGGCTTAATGACTAAGAACTTATTACCTGATGAAGGAGTATAGTACCAGTCGACGTTTGACAGAGAAAGGCGATGGTAAATAGGATTTCGAAGGATTTTTTGGATAGAGAGAGGGGATGGTAAATATCATTTTGGAGGGTTAGAAGTTGTGCAGTCTTATGGATTCCCAACTGAAATCTGTAATGGCAAATAGCCATTTCTTGGTAATTGATTTCTGTAATTGAATACCCGTAATTAAAAAAAAATGGGGAGAGAGAGACGAAGAGGGTGACGGTGAAGGAGGAGCCATGATGGTCTTCTCTTGGCGGTTCTGTGAATAAGTAGGGGAGAAAGAGAGAGAGATTGATAGATAGAGAGAGACGCAAAGAGAAAAGGGGAGAAAGAGAGAGACAGGGAGGGGAAGGTGAATAGAGGGGTATGATGGTTTGTTGTAGAGTTGTTTGTAATTTCAGAGGGGAGAGACACAAACTTTAACAGAGGAAATAGGGAGAGAGGAGAGAGTAGCGACAGAGGGAAAGACGGTAACAGTTGAGAACTAATGGGAAGTAATTACAGATAATGATTAAGTTAAGTGTGACATTAATTTTAAAGGATAAGAATGATATATTTGTAGTATTAAAGGATAAAAGTGTAAATAAAATATTTTTCAAAGATGCTGGTATTTTAAAATAATACTCTCTCTTGTCCTAAATATTTGTTGTTACATGCTTTTACACAGGCATTAAAGAAATTATTAAATAGCTCTAATATGAGTAAAAAATAATTATACAAGATTAAAATAATCTTATTTAATATATATTGAGAATTAAAGAAATATAAAAGATATTTAACCTCCATCAATTATAATACATTAAAAAATTAAGGATAAATTTAGAAAAAAAAATATTAATTATGCTTTGATTTTATAAAACGACAGATATTATAGAATAAAAAAAATTGTGTAAAATGACGTATATTTAGGAAAGGAGTGAGTATAGATTAGTGAAATACATGGAATGATTTTATTAATATGAAATTAATAATTAAAATACTAAATTGAAATAATTAAAAGTCTAAAAGGAATTAGCGTTAATGTGCGCCGGGTGTGGCACTCAGCATCCTCCATGGCCACAAGCGAACACCACCGTAAGAAAGCTACATATTCTCTCTCTTCCTCTTCCTCTTCCTGCCTAATTTTCTCTCTCCTCTGTTTCGGCTCTCTCTTTTTCGCTTTCTCTCTATTCAAAACCTCTGTGTCACCTCCTCAGCCACACCACCGCAGGGAATTCGACTCCGAAGCCTCTGACGCATCGAACACACTGTGCGATTACTCCGATGGACAGTTGACGTACGATTCAACGATCAGATCCCCGCGTTACGATAACACTTGTAAAGAGATATACAAAGGTTGGAATTGCATTAGCAGTAACAAAGCTAATGCACTTGATATTGTCAAGTGGCGTCGCAAGCCCAATCACTGTGATCTTCCACAATTTGAGCCTCTTCGGTTCCTCGAGAAATACAGAGACATCAGTATTGGTATATCTCTTTCCCTTTTTCTCTTTTCTCTCTCACACACATACTCACCCTCTTTTCGTTAGTCTATTAATGAGCTGTTTGGTTCCTGAGGAAATGTAGAGAAAGGAAGATATCTTATAATCGCATATCTCCGCGTCTTTATTGATTTCTGACCTGATTATTAGAAAGTTCTACTTAAAAATGCCTAATACACCTGAGTTTGATATGAAAAAACTAACTTTTGAGTAATGCTATTCAATATTGTTTGTCTCTATCATTCTTGTTTTTCTGAGCAAAGGGTTACCTGTCATTGTGTTTTATTTCTTGTAAATGGCTTAGTGTTGTATTCTTTAATATCTCCATGTTTTTTTCCTCGGTGAGTAGAATTTATCCATGTTAGATTAGATTTTGCACATGCTTTATGTTTTTCAAAAAATTAATAAAAGGGAAAGTAATAATCTTGAATTTTTTTTGTCTATTCCCTATTAATATCTTCGGTTCTTGGTAACATACTTATATATTGACATATTTTCATGCGTCGGTGTTACACAATTTGTAGACCTTATAGATCTGTAATAGTGCAGGGTTTGTGGGTGACTCCTTAAATAGGAACATGTTTGTTGCACTTTTCTGCACTTTGAAACGTGTGCCAGGTGACGTGAGAAAGTGGCGTCCTGCTGGAGCTGATCGAGGATTGACCTTTTCTCCAGTACAACCTTACTATTGCTTATCATCGCACAAATCTTTTGGTGCGTTATGGTAGGTAAGCTGTGTTTGTTGGAAAATTGTACTTGTGTGATTGTTTAACGGAGTACAGTTTTATTAGTATTTGCTGCAATTACATTCTTATTGTTATTTTGCTTATCTCTAGGGGTTACATGATTGTGTTTACTGCTATCATGAAGGATCTATTTTGAGTTTTTGTTTGGTCTCTTGGTGTCTGCGATGGATTGATATATTTTGTTTCAAGCGTTGGTTACATGTTAACACAGGCTTGTTTCATTCCTATATTTTATAAATGGTCAGCCAATCCAAACGGTGGTATCTTAGAATCTCTTGGATACAAGGAGGGTTATAGAGTTGATGTTGATACACCAGAAGGACCTTGGGTAGAGGCTGCGAGTTTCCACGATATTCTCATCTTTAACACTGGACACTGGTACATTATTCCTCTGGGATCCTATTTCATGTAGACTACGTTGTTGGTTGCTGGCATGTTAATTAAGACCTTTCCTTTGTTTCGTTCTTTCTTTTTATTTTTATTTATTTATTTTATGAAGATAGAAATGCATACGTCTTGTTCATTGCTTAGTAAATTGAGTAGCTGATATATTTTAGCACCCAAGCAGTTAAGTCATAAGTGTGAATCTACCACTGTAAGAGAAAATTGTCTGTCATATTTTGTATTCTTCCTGTTCTTGGGTGAAAATGGCTGGGATGGTTTGTAAGGGCCAAAGGAGAATGAGGGGCTAGCATCTTACACAAGTGATGTACAACCTATTCATAATCAGATGATCATATCCTTGGCCACAGCAGTTAGTTTCATTTTCACGTGGCACTTCGATTTTTATTTTTTCACGTGGAACTTTGAATTTTTTCATCTTGATATTTTTGGGAGGCTTAGATTTTTCTGACTTATTGGCAATTCTGTTCTTTTCAAGGTGGTGGGCTCCTTCAAAGTTTGACCCTGTAAAATTACCCATGCTTTTCTTTGAAAAGGGTTGCCCAGTGGTGCCTACAATACCACCTGATGCTGGCCTTGATATGGTTTTAAAGCACATGGTATGAATGACCTCTCTCTCACCTACTTTTTCTCTAAATTCTGAATCAAATCTAAGAAATGCTTCTCAATAACATGCCAATTTGCGGATGATAAGTTTGTGCTACAAATAGACTTTACACCTCTGGTCCATATATGCCTTATTGATACATCAAAGTATGCAAGTGCTATTCATAGATGTAATGCCATAGTTGGATTTGTCTTCCCAAACTCAAGTATTTCAGGATAGGCTTCATGGATAAATTTGCCTCTGCATTGGAAGTGATTTAACATTTGACATTCTTTCTTCTATGTTGCTACTGCTTGTGGTATATAATCAAATGGAAAAAAACTATGCAACTTAATTTTATTGGATGAAAGTGGTCTAATATTATGCTTTAGAATAATTGTCTAATGACTTGTCAACGAAAGTGTAAAATATGTCCGGTCTTTTTCTGAAGTGTAGTGCTAGAGACATGCAACGCCTAATCAATGCCGAAAGAGCAAGGATGAGATAATACTAAAAATTCTCACCTCCCAAATATATGGATAAAATTGAGTGGTCCAGATTAACGTACTCTAATATGTCACTCTGTTGACCCCTTGCAAGGCCTGTGTGTCTGGTCCTAACTTGGTAGTTGACTTTCTTGAGGTCAAGGGTTCAAATTCTCCCTCTCCTTCCCCCCCCCCCCCCAACCCAAAATAAAATAAAAATATATTGCTGGCATTAATTCATTTTTCATTTGCAATGACTGCAAGAATATGAATCGGTCAGACTGGTACAAGATAATGGAGCATTGTATAACCGTAAGTGTGCAAAACAACTATTTTCACTTGGTTTCAGTTGCTATTTTGAAAATATCTGCAATAACTTGGTCCAAAATTGATGCATCAAATAAGTGGAAATGCAGAAAATTTCTGTCAGTTGTCTCTCCCAACAGCAATAGAAGAATGTTGTACCCATACATTTAGTAGGATCTTAGTTGTGCATATATGCTCATTTATTATTACATGCATTTCAATTATAGGTATCATTTTTGGAGGGAAAAACCTGATCGAATACTATTGTATTCTTTTGTACTCAATCACCCAGACATTTTGAAGGAGGTGACTGGGACCAAGGTGGTTCTTGTCTGTGTTTACAACCTTTGTCGCCTCAAAAGGTGAGTCTCCTTCTATGATTGAGGCTTTCAACAAGCAGTGTAGTTTTTCAATGAGTGGAAATCACATTGTACAAGATAGCTGATCCCAATGTGCTGGCTGAGTTGTTTACATGACTCTGCAACTTGTAAGCCAAAGTTCTGGTTTCATGCTTTGGTATTTTTTAGGGTGAGGAACTTTTCTCTTTGACAAATAATGGAACATATGTGGAGGCACGCCATGTGAACCAGCACCTGTACATGGCTCTTCATGGTTCTGGTTTCCATACATTGGAATAACCCACTTGAACGAGTTCAGAGCTGATGCGCATCCATCTACAGCTGGTGGAAAGAAACACGATGATTGCATGCATTGGTGCCTACCGGGAATTACAGATACTTGGAATGACTTACTCATAGCGAATCTAGACAACATCAAGGTTGGGAACTGAAATGTTAGTGTCATTTATTTTCACTTGGAAATTGTTTTATTTCTTTTCCATTGATATTGTTGTTTGATTCTAAGCCACCATGGTGGGTTTGGAATTCGGTCATATGTAGGTTGTACCTAATTCATGTTGCAATGAGGTATATAGCTGTTTACTTTATTTTGTGCCATAGCCAGTGTTTTACCCAGCGTATAGATTGGACGTTATGGAATTTTATTTTTAGGAATTTGGCAACATTTGGGCAATTGTTACCAGATCCAATTGAATTTATTCAGAATATCTCCAATAGTTTGTGCTATATTTTGTGTGCCAATGTTACATTTTGGTCTTCTACGGTGCCAAAAGCATGCAAAAACCGTGCTGTTTTCTTTTGGCACCACAAAGACCAAAAACATAGCATTTCGCAAAGTCTTACGACCATATATGGGTTGACACCTGCCTAATGCCGGAAAATCAAGGAAGTTGGTGATTTAATGATAGGAAACCCAACGACCGAAGTCCTGATAAACGATGATCACAACTATAATGGTCCTAAGGTAATGAAATTCTTAATCGGTAAATTCTGATCCGCACAAAAGGCGTAATGATTTGGGTAGTAAAAGATTAGACCTTTTATTCTTGTACATCTAGGTAGTAAAAGTTTAGACCTTTTACTCTTGTACATCTCCGTCAAACAAGTATGTTATATCTTCTAAGAAAAAATTGTAGCAATTAAAACGTGTAAGATACGAAATAGCAATAAAACTGTAAAAGTATAGTTTCCTTCCAGATAAAATAAAACTAAATATAGTAGTAGACCTTATAGTATTTGACACAATCTACCAATACGACACGCAATTGATAACAAGAGATCGTTTAATGTTAATAAGTTTTAGGCCATATTTCAATTGATCTCAGACTCCTTTATTAAATTTGGTTATACAAAATCTACTTATAGGTAATATAAGACCAACTATAAATGACTCAAACTTCACAATTCAATTTCAATTATACATAATTATAAATGGTCGTATATGACAACTTCTAACATGATACGACTTATTTGATCATTCTAAAGTTAGGGACAATTGATCTTTAATCAAATTCTTTTATTGGTATCTTATTGTGTAACATTATTCAGTTCTAGCACAATTATATAGATTTTGTTTCCTTTCTAGATCATTTCTCTATCCACTTAAGGCCTCCGAATTTTAAGCCATTCATATAAGTGAAAAATTAATAATTTTTTTTTATCTTTGTTAAGAATAATAGAGTAGTATGTGTAAATTATTAATAGTAAGAGGATGTATGTGTTATTATTATTATTGTAAGTTAACTATAAATACAAGTTATGTATGATAGTTAAGTTAAGTTCTTAACCTCACCTCCCACTGTTTCTCCCAAAATATTGTCTCTAATATTATTATGTTAATCTTCCAAACTTAACGCTGGTGGTCGCTATGGTGCTGCGGTGGTGTAGTGTGTGACGCCGTCGACGACCATTGACTGAAGTCTGGGAACACGCGTGGTGGTCTATATTACCTTGTCGCTGTGGTGCTGCGGTGGTGTAGTGTGTGACGCCGTCGAAGACCAGGCAAGCCAGCCACTGTCGTTGTTGTGCTGCGGTGGTGTAGTGTGTTACGCCGTCGAAGACCAGGCTGGCCAGGCTACTGTGTTACCCTAATTTTAACAAAGAAGAAATAGATCCAACGGGTTGGATCAAATCGGGTCAAGCTCAGCCCATTATTTTAAGTTTAACCCAAGATTCGGTCTAGCGCACCCGGTTCAATCCGGTTCAACGGTCCAAAGCCTCTGTCTAGTCCGGTTCAGTGGTCTAAAGCCTCTATCCGATCCGGTTCAGCGGTCTAGAGCCTCTGTCCGGTCCGGTTCAACTCTTTTTAGCCCAATTCAGTTCTGCAACACTTCTTATTTGCTATTTGCTGCATTATTATGGAACCCAAAAATTCCATGTTGCCTCATCATACTCTTATCAATGGTCTCATGACTTCTGTCAAACTCAATGGGACTAATTATATTTTATGGTCCCGATCTGTTCAAGTATTTCTTCGAGGCAAAGGATTTAAGAAATATCTGGTGGGTTCTAAACCCAAGGAGGACACTCCTGGGTATGATTAGTGGGAATAAGAGGATGCTCATATTATTTCTTTATTGTTGAATAGCATAGAGCCCAGTATTAACTTTTCTCTGCTCTATCTTGATACTACCAAAGAGATATGGGATCACTTGGCCACTATTTATTCTGGTACGGGTAATTTTACCCGTGCGTATGAGGTGTGCAAGGAGTACTTCTGGTTGGAGCAAAGTACTTTGAGCCTTGCGGATTATTACTCTCATGTTTGGGGAGTCTGTGAGGAGATAAAAACTTACCATTCGTTTACTATTGATGCAGCAGTTTGGCAAAAGCAACATGAAGACCTGAATGTTGTTCATTTTTTGGTAGGATTGAAACCTGAATATGAGGCTATTCGTTCTCAGATTTTGGGTGGATCTAGTCTTCCATCACTGCTGGAGGTTTTCTCTCGTTTACAGCGTGCTACACTGTCTACTCCTTCAGTCATTGATCATGGTGTCTCCACTGATCGCTCAGCTCTTGTAGTTCCTAATAGCCATAGTGATGGTCATCGAGGTGGACGTGGTGGTCGTGGTGGTCGCGGAGGTCGTACGGGTGGTCGTGGAGGTCGTAGTGGATCATGTTCCTGTACTCACTGTGGACGTGGAGGACACACTGTTGATTTCTATTGGGATTTACATGGAAAACCTTCTGGTACTGCTAATCAGGCTTCTTATCAGGATGACACCTCTGTTGTTGCTTCCATACCTCGGTCAGCTCCACCAAACACTGGGTCAGTTACTATTATACTGGGTCGAGAGGAGTATGCTCAGTTCCTGTCCCGGCAACAAGCTGTTTCATCTCCCTCCACTGCTACTTTTGCCCAGTCAGGTACTGCTTCCACCTGTTTATTGTCCTCCATCCGCAGTCCTTGGATCATAGATTCTGGCGCCTCTGACCACATAACTGGTGCGTCTGACGTTTTCTCTACTTATCAGTCTGCTACTTCCACACGTAGTGTTACTCTTGCTAATGGTACTTGTTCTAAAGTTTCAAGTCTGGGGACTACTCACTTGAGTCTTGATATGTCCCTATCTTCCGTGTTATTTGTTCCTCAATTTTCTTTTAGTTTACTTTCTATTAGCAAGATTACCCGTTCTCTCAACTGTTCTGTAATTTTTTATCCCTCTTATTGTGTCTTTCAGGATCTCAAGACAAAGAGGAAGATTGGTACGGGGCATGAAGCTGGTGGCCTATATTACCTTGACTTTGATTCATCTACCCGAGCTTTACAGACCTTGTTGTCTCCTTTTCAATGACATTGTCGTCTTGGACATCCTTCTCTTCAGAATCTGAAACACCAAATTTCCAGTCTTAGTTATGTGTCGTCTTTGTCCTGTGAAGCTTGTCAACTTAGTAAGCATCACCGTGTGTCATTTCAGTCTAGAGTCAATAATCGTGTGTCTAGTCCATTTGAATTAGTCCATTATGATGTATGGGGTCCAATAAAGAATATTTTATCTAATAAATATCCTTATTTTGTGACATTTGTGGATGACTATTCTCGTGTGACTTGGTTATTTTTGATGAAAGCTCGATCTGAATTATTTTCTATATTTGAGACTTTTCGTAAAGAAATAAAAACTCAGTTTGGTTGTCGTATATGTACTTTACGTTCCGATAATGCTCGTGAATATGAATCTGATCTTTTTTCAGCTTATCTTACTAAAACTGACATTATTCATCAGACTTCTTGCGCTTACACCTCTCCACAAAATGGTGTTGCTGAACGCAAGAACCGTCATTTGTTGGAAGTCATCCGTGCCTTGTTATTCCAGATGAATGTTCCCCGATATCATTGGAGTAATGTTGTTCTTACTACTTGTCATCTTATTAATCGTATGCCCTCCTCTGTGTTAAATGAACAAAGTCCATATTCTGTTCTGTTTCCTAGTAAGCTCTTATTTTCCCTTACTCCTAAGGTTTTTAGTTGTGTCTGTTATGTTCACAATTTAGGTCATGGATTTGACAAACTTAATCCTCGCGCTACCAAATGTGTTTTGTTTTGTTACTCCCGCACACAAAAGGGGTATCGTTGTTACAGTCCTTCTCTGCACTGATATATTACTAGTGCGGATGTCACATTTGAAGAATCTGTTCCATATTTTCCAGCACCATCTCAGCCTTTGGATCTGGACTTTGGCTCCTCTCCTATACCACCATTAGATATTCCGCTGCCCACTGTGTTACCATCTACTTTACCTCTCTGTGTCTATTCTCGCCGTCCTCGCCCATTGACTAAAGTGCCTGTATCGTTTTCCTTGCCGCCTTCTGATCCAGGAACATCAGGTAATTTAGATTCTTTACCTATTGCTCTTCGCAAAGGTACTCGTTTGTGTGTTACTAATCATCCCATTTCTCATTTTATTTCATATGATGCCTTGTCACCTGTCTTCTCCTGTTTTACTTCTCAATTATCTGCTATATCTATTCCTAAGCATTTACAAGATGCATTATTTGATCCGGGTTGGAGGAAAGCTATGGAGGAGGAGATGGATGCCTTACATCATAATGGGACTTGAGATCTCGTCCCTTTACCCTCTGGTAAACAAACTGTTGGATGTCGTTGGGTGTATACTGTTAAATTTCATCCAGATGGTTCTGTGGAGCGTCTCAAAGCCCGACTTGTTGCAAAGGGCTTTACTCAGACTTATGGTGTTGATTAGGAGGAGAATTTTTCTCCTATTGCCAAAATTTCATTTGTTCGTATCTTGATTTCTTTGGCTGCTAATCTTGATTGGCCCTTGTTTCAGTTAGATGTCAAGAATGTCTTCTTACATGGTGATTTGGTTGAAGAGGTCAACATGGAGCAGCCATCTGGGTTTACTGCTCAAGGGGAGTATGGTAAGAGTGAGAGTGTATGTCGGTTAAAAAAATTTTTGTATGGTTTAAAGCAGTCACTGAGGGCATGATTTAGTAAGTTTTCAAATGCAGTTTTAGAGTTTGGTCTTCTTTGATGTCAGGCTGACAGATGCTGGGTATGTCCTATTGGTGGTCTATGTCGATGATATTGTGATTACTGGAAATTTTAAGGGGATTGCCAAGTTAAAATTATTTTTACAAGATTGATTTCATACTAAGGATTTGAGAAAACTTAGGTATTTCTTGGGTATTGAGGTGGCTCGATCTAAACAGGGTATTTGTTTATCTCAGAGGAAATATGTACTTGACATGCTTGAGGAAACAGGTTTGCTGGGTGGTAGACCGATTGATGTCCCTATGAATCCGAATCAAAAATTATTGATGGATGATGGTGTATTGTTTGAGAATCCGGGTCGGTATCGCAGATTGGTTGGGAAGCTTAATTATCTCACTATTACTCGACTGGATATTTCCTATGCAGTCAGTATAGTAAGTCAGTTCATGGGATGTCCTAGAGTACCACATTGGGAGGCAGTTACTCGTATTCTGCGATATCTCAAATGAGCTCCTGGACTTGGACTGTTATATCGAACTAATGGACATCTTAGAGTGGAAGGTTTCTCAGATGCTGATTGGGCTGACTCTCCTAATCGGAGATTAACCACTGGTTATTGTACTTTCCTAGGTGGTAATGTTGTCTCATGGAAAAGTAAGAAACAACCCGTGATAGCAAGATCCAGTGCCGAGGCTGAGTATAGGGCAATGACATATACGACGAGTGAGTTGACTTGGCTACTACACTTCCTCTAGGAAATTGGGTTTGTAGTTCAACTTCCTTTACAGTTGTTCTGTGACAACCAGACAGCTATCCATATCGCTGTCAATCCTGTGTTTCATGAAAGAACCAAACATATTGAGGTTGACTATCACTTTATTCGGGACAAGATAGTAGTTGGGGAGATTATAACTCCATTTGTGAAATCTGAAGATCAGCTTACAGATATGTTCACCAAAGCATTGAGTCGTACGCGTCTTATAGCTATTTGTTCCAAGTTTGGATTATATGATATATATAGTCCAGCTTGAGGGGGAGTGTTAAGAATAATAGAGTAGTATGTGTAAATTGTTAATAGTAAGAGGATGTATGTGTTATTATTATTATTATTGTAAGTTAACTATAAATACAAGTTATGTATGAGAGTTAGGTTAAGTTCTTAACCTCACCTCTCACTGTTTCTCCCAAAATATTGTCTCTAATATCATTATGTTAATCTTCTAAACTTAACAATCTTGCTTCCTAATGGCCCTTCCATAATATTTTATTCACTGTAAGATTGGAACAAGGAACAGTGACATCTCTAATTGAAGAAGAGAGAACTGTAAAAAGAGTGAAATACAAGACAACAAGTGGTCAGGTTTCGAAAGCATCTGCCCCTCTCACAATCGTATGTGACGGTTGCTTCTCAAATTTGCGAGGCTCTCTATGCAAGCCCAAGGTGAATAGGCTGCCTCAACTTGAGTGTATAATTTTTTTCATGCTCTCAAGAGATACATTTGAAAATCAATTTTGAATTCTAGCATGTGTACTTTTCATTTATTTTGTCAGAAAAAGATATCATTTTGATTTTGCAGGTAGACATTCCCTCTTGTTTTGTTGCCCTGATCCTAAAGAATTGCGAACTTCCATACCCAAATCACGGACATGTTATTTTAGCTAATCCTTCACCAATCTTGCTATACAAAATCAGCAGTACTGAGGTTAACTGTTTTGTTTAGTAGACATACCTGGTTAGAAGTTGCCTTCCATTTCAAGTGGTGAAATGTCCTCTTATTTGAAGACCATGGTTGCACCTCAGATATATGTAACATGTCTACTTTGATTTTTAAACACTTATTTTGATGCCACAATAGAGTGCATGAGGTGTATTTAAAGAGCAATGTGAGCATTAAACAAATTCAACTTCTTCAATGTACATATTTGTGTTTGTCTTAACTTCCCTCTCTAAAATATGCATATCCGTTCTCTTATTTAGAGTTAATTCTACTTTGTTTTGTGGTCATGAGACTTTGTTTGCTTTGCATGATGGTCAAATACATGTTCAATTAATCCATCATATCATGCCATCTTTTCACATCAATTCTTGCGTTTTGACTCTTCGTCTCATGGGCCAATGGTTAAAAATTCTACATATTTCAATTTAGTAAAATTTTGGCCTGATAAGAGATTTTGCACATTTTAGATGCCTCTTGAGCTGTATAGTACCTTCATGTCAGCAATTGATGAAGGAAACAAAAGATCAATTCCAAATAGAAGCATGCCAACTGCTCCTCATCCCACTCCAGGTGCACTTGTACTGGGGAATGCCTTCAACATGAGACATCCTTTAACCGGAGGAGGAATGACAACAGTTTTATCTGATATTGTTATGCTTCGGGATCTTCTTAGAAATCTAAGAAACTTGAACAATGCATATATTTTTGTGCAAGTATCTTGAATCCTTTTACACGTTGCGTAAGGTGAGTAGCATTATTGTGTACTAGTTCAAGCTATGTGATTTGTTTTGACTTTGATGTGGAAAGCATTCAATGATCATATCTGTTACTTATAGAGGTTTTTTAGTACTATTCATCAAATGAGAATAAGAATTTTCATAACACGGGAGTTTAATATGAAGTTAAATGATGGCCCGTTTAAGAAATCAAGCATCAGAGCAAAAAAAGCTAAATTCAAATTTAGACTGGAGCATCACCAACAAACCTGCATCATTTTTGTTTGTAGCCGGTGTCATCTACAATAAATACATTGGCGGGAGCCCTATACAAGGTGTTCAGTGCTTCACCAGATCGAGCAAGGATAGAATTGCGCCAAGCATATTTTGAGTATCTAAATCTTGGAGGCATTTTTTCAAATAGACTCATTGCTCTGCTTTCTAGTCTGAATCTGCGACCATTTAGTTGGTGCTCCATTTTTTCGCTGTCACTATCTATGGGGTTGGCAGTCTTTTATTTCGGTTTCCCTCACCTAATCGTGCATGGATTGGTGCAAGATTGATTTATGTATGGAACTCTCCATTTCTCCAAATGTAGGAATTTAATTTTAGTATTTTTAGTTTTTTCTCCTTGTCTTATAATAGGTATAACGATTGTTATATAATCTCTGTAATTTTGATCTTTCCTTTTTCATGTTTATGCTCTTTTAGGATGCGTCAAGTATCACTTTTCCCATTATAAAGGCTAAAGGAGTCCGACAGATGTTCTTCCCTACAACAGTTCTAGCATGCTACAGAGCTCCTCCCATGCATTAAGTCAATGAACACAAAGTTCCTCTTTGTTTGGAAAACTTTGCTCTATGTGCACTATACATCAGAGAGAAACTATACTTGATTGATTGTACACCTTCTCATGTTAAAAAAGGAGGGTTGGGTACCAGCTTTAGCTCGAAAAGACATTGTGGAGCATTGACTGTACTTTTAGATTGCTAGGGTTTGTTCTTGGTGGCTGACAAAATCTCCATTATTCATTTTTTCAATGTGTAAAAGAATTTTTTTGCTTCATGCTTTTTTCACCGATAATGTAAATAACGTAGATTCTTCAAATTGTACTTTATATTCTAAAAGATTTAAGAATTTTTACTTGATATTTTCAAAGATAAAAATTTTTATATTACATTTTCAAAGTATTAAAAGTATTACTTCTGTTATTTTTTGTTATTTTTTCCATCAAAACCTCCCCATTAATAATGAAAGAAAAAATAACAAAATCTAAAAGAAAAATCACATTATAATACTTTTAATACATTAAAATTATTATATAAAAAACTTAATATTTAAGCGTACAAAATAAAAATTCTTAAATCTTTCAAGTACAAAATAAAACCCTCACAACTTAGAATAACTTCATCCTATAAAGTAACTTGTCAATAGGCAATGACTTGATTACTATGTCGTAGTGCACAATGTCATAGGGTTAAACTAATAAACGAAATTCAAACTTCATTCGTTTAAAGTCTGAGTAGCTCAACTATTTTACCTATAAACGAGCCAAACTTTTTAGGCTCGTTTGTTCAAGCTCAACTCGTTTAAAACGCAAGTCAAGCTCGAACCGAGTTTTATCTGAGCCGAACCCTAATAAGTTATCTCAATTAACACCTCTAATTATATTTCACCACAAATGTCTAAAAACAAGCATTACCATTTCTAGCTCTCCAAACTCAAAATCAATAATCATTACCTGATAGAATGCTTTAAATTTCTTAAAAGTAGAAGCTTCAACGAAGCTAATGTGCCACCCATGATTTATGGGGCCTGATAAGATCCTACAAGACCAAAACATGCAAAATAACTGAGCTCTTTGGCTAGGAAAACACAGAATGTGATGCAGACAAGTGACATTATTCTTTCACTTGTAAAACTGCTTGAATCGTTCGCATGCTTCCAACACATCATTCCTATGACCAAAGGCGCTAACTCGAATGAAACCTTCACCACCAGGTCCAAACCCGCTGCCAGGAGTAGTAACCACATGGGTCTTCTCAAGAATCTCACCAAACACATCCCATGAGCTTTGGCCAGGAGAGTGCACCCAGACATATGGTGCATTTTTTCCCCCATAAACTTTAAAACCAAGCGAATTAAATGTCTCCATGATAATATTAGTATTTTCTCTGTAGAAACCAACCACCTCTTGCATAGCCTGCATAAAGTAGAGATCCAGAAATAAATGTAAACCAGCCTGTTATAATTTGTTGTTCTATCTAATTGCCAAGATGGGGAAAAAATAGACTTTTAACAAAAACTAATTTTAAATCATAGTTTTTGTTATAAAATGATGTTCCATCTAATTGCCATGACTGGAAAAAATTGGACTTCTAACAAAAACTAATTGTAAATCATAGGTTTCTAATTTTTCATCCATCATGGCTACTAAGTGAAGAAACCGAGACCAAGGAACTGACCTTCAAACCATCTGGTGAAAGGCATGCCAGACCACCCGCTTGGGCAATGTTAGATGCACCATTAAAAGAAGTACAAACAATGCGGTTGAAGTCCTTTGCAACTGGAAATCCATCAGAAAATAGGAGTTCTTTTGGAACCACAGTCCAACCTAGACGAACTCCTGTGAACCCAGCATACTTAGAATATGACGAAGTTTCAATTGCAACCTGCAATACCCATATGTAGATCAAGATGTTATGCATATCTAGATGTGAACACTGCCACAAAACCTGAGTCCAGACTTTTCTGTGCCCATCACAGATATTCTGTACTAAAGTTTGCCTAAATCTAGACCATTCTCATCTTTTCAATGGTGGAATATATGCGAAAGAAATTCCTCCAAAGGGAAAAAATGCATAGAATCCTGTACAAACCAAATCACAATTTTCCATGAGACTAGATGTGTTCAAGTATAAGCTGTGGCTCCTGTCCCCAACCACAGGTGTTGATTATTAACAATTAAAGGCAGGAGGAACAAAGAAAAGAACCCAAAGGTCCCAAACCTCGCGGAAAGAATTTTGAATATAAATTCCAGGCTTACCTCTTTGGCTCCAGGAATTTCAAAGATGGATCGTGGATTATCATCTGACATATACAAAGCATAAGCAGAATCATAGACGATGATTGACCCATTGTCCTTGGCAAATTGTACCAATTTTGTCAGTTGTTCCCTTGATGCAGCAAAACCAGTAGGATTGTTGGGTGAACAAAAAAATATGATGTTTGTAGGAGAAACAGTGGATAAATCAGGAAAGAAACCATTCTCTGGAGTACACTTCATGTATTCAATATTTTCATATTTCTCAACTCTAGTCTGAAACTGACCAGTCTGACCCATAATAACACTTGAGTCTACATAAGCCTGAGATAAGAAGCAAAAATTAAACATTTCCCGAGCACCAAAAAAAAGTATCAGAGATGTAAAAGCTTTCCAAAGTAGCCACTTCATTATGTCCCTGTTCTATGATTATTATCACCTTGCTCTTGTTGCACACTCAATTAATAAGTTTTCTACGTAAAATTTACCATACAACCATCCCATCCACCCTACCATGCACACATATGAGCAAACAACAGATCCACTATAAAAAATAATTCTCTCCTATTTAATTAGCTACAATCTAGCTAGTTGATGCGTATCAAAGACACCCCAAATGAGAACCCATACAATTCCCAAATCGACCAACTTTCCATCAGATTGGGAGTCTTTTCTCAAGGCCAATAATTTTTGTTTACATAGTTGAAACCATCACCACATTGTCTATTAATTGGTAAAATTCCCAGATGAACACACACTTCCCAAATATACCCAAAAAAATGACCACATCTATTTGCATGGGCATAGAAGGAAAGAGAAAAAGAGAAAGGGGGACAGATGCACTGAAGGATCATCATTTGCCTCATATACAACATGGTCATTGAGAGGAACATTATATGGCCATAAGCTTTACAAAAATTATCAATAAGATAAAGTTCATACCCTAAATGAATAAGAGTTTGAGATAAACTGAAAATTTAAGGAAAACTCAAGGAATATATTGAAACACCTGTATTATAAAACCACATTGTAGAGGAAAAATAAAATAAAATCTACCAATCATAGATGATGACATCAACTCAACCTTTAAACATGAGATGTTGATATGAATAAGAATAAAAAAAACCATGACAAGTTAATACTACTAAAGACAAGTGTGTTTTTGTTTTCCTTTGTTTGTGGTAGAAGTATTGAGATATCTACCGGGTATGATGGGTCTTGCACTGCCATTGTAACATTCGACCCAAAGAGGACCTGCCACATAGGAGAGGAGACAAAGAAAAGTCAAGTGACCTTGATAACATTAATTAATGGGAATGGGGATGCAATAACATTCTGCTAGTTTCAAATAAGATAACACCTAGCAAATACAGATGCATACAACTAAACTTGAATAGAAAAAAGAAAACAATAATCAATAGTATATTAATAAATCAAAACAACAAATGAGGAACCACACCTGGAGGCGAGATATGTCACTTTTTGCACCATCCGACACAAATATGTCATTTGCCTCTATTCCAAGGTTTGCATAAAAAGTTGAGGCAATCGCGCTTCTCAATTGCTAAACACAAAATTTACTTTTGGAGTTAATACACAGTGAATCAAGTCTCAGATGATTGGATAATCCATAAATTAGAAAGAGGGAAGAAGGAAACGAAGGGAAGAGAAATAATTGGCAAAGGCATAATAATGTTGTCATACTAATATGCATGCGCAGTTATATACCATCATAAAAATCGCAAATGTTCACGAACTACGTAGATGTAAATAGTCAATAAAGAGTCAAAGGACACCACATACTTTTTCACCTTGCTCAGCTCCATAACCAGTGTAACCCTTGATTGTTGACAATGTATATGATCTCTGCCAATAAGAAAACCCAAGGATATTACATATAGTTTAAACAAGTTGAAAAACAAAGGCAGGCTGTCATTTCAGTCAAAACTAACAGGAACATAGGTTGTCCAAAAATGTACTTATGAAATTCACATGATTATGCATCTGAAATACAAAACACCTTCCTCTGTTTCCTTAGTTTAAAATACGCACTTATAGCACATTGTATATACAATGGCTTTAAATGATGGCAACGTCTAACTTGATGGTAACAATACATACAAGTCATCATGTGGTTGTAACCGAATCCGGAGGGCACAAATTTTCTATTTGCATCCCCCCAAGAAAGTTGAATAAATTCATGTGTAAGTTTAAAATCGTACAAATACAAATTCTCATGTATCTATAATGGATTCAATTATACCATATACAACAACCAGACATGTTAAATGAATTAGGTGATATTGTACCAAGGTGGGACGAGCTACGGTCACACACATACACTTACAATAAAGGTAGCAAGAATAAAATATCCCAATCTCTTATTAATCAACAAAAATATTGTAAGATGATCGAACTACACTTGTATGAATGATAGAACTTCACATCAAAATGAATACCATTACCTTTGCCATCGCAGAAGTTATAATTTCTGGAATGGGCTCAGTGGTGTCACCAATTCCAAGGCTTATGACTTTTGCATTGGGATACTTCAACTTGTGAGCCTCTGTTCTTCTAGCAACCTAATTTCACATGAGAGAATCTATTAAACTCAGCTCGTTGATATAAGCAAGGAAGAGTGATAATCAGCAATCAATTTTTATATTATGGGTGAAGGTTGGAGTATGAAATTGAAACCAAAGGCTACAACCATCGATCAACACACTTTAACAAGGTAGCCAATCCTAAATTCTCAATGAAGATGCTGCACAAAATTCTCTGTTCTCATTCGTGAGATCTTAAGGCCTCCGTACACAATTCATTCTTCAAATAAAAGATTTTCATCTTTAGGTGGGTTGGGGGTTGGGGAGAATGAGCCTAGGGATTTGTCTTCAGTTCACAAAAGACATCCAAAACAACTATACTAATTTTTTCTACTACAATTGAAGGTATTCTATTCAAATAACTGTAACCTCAGATCTTTCATTCACCCAAAAAAGATGTTACAAGAAATAAGAAAAACAAGAGGTGACTTTGACAAGTGAATCAATATCATAAAAACATGTGTGGAAGTGAGTCACTGGAAGTGTGAAGACTAGGACTGTGACAAACGATCTGGAAAGAATGTAACCTTTACACTTGAAGCAAATTTCCAACCCTTGACCATAAATATTACATAAACCCACTAGGTATGCATGCAAAATTTGGGGAAATAAAGGGACAAAAAAATTGTGCAAAAAATTGCAAGAGCCATAACAAACCTCAGGAAAGAGGTAACCAGCTTGAAGCTTAGCCATGTTTGCATTGCGGGACACCTTGGTCTTATAAGCTTCTAAAAATGTACCAAAAAATGCTGGCATTAGTATAGATACCATAACAAATTATTTTCTCTACTACATCTCCCAAACTCCAAGTACATCACAACATTATGAGTACTTTAGACATGAACTACCAACTACAGAAAAAAAATCAATTTCTCAAATTTTCATCGAATTTCTTGGGAACCAAACAAAAAATAGTTAAAAAAAGTTTGTATTTTGATAGCGAAAAACGAAGTATAAGGCGATAATACCATTCTTCTCTAGGGTAGGGGTTGCAATGCATCTAGAAATCCCACTGTTTTTCGCCGGAATAGAAAGATTCTGGGTTCTACACAAGTGAAAAAGTACAATATCAAAATTATCATTATAGGAAAAATAAAAGATTATTTTAGCACCATCACTATCTGTTCATAAAAAATTCACATTCAAATTCTCTCTGTTTTTTCCTTTCATTCCACTCAGCAACTTGAAACAGAGGGGATGGAGATATTAATTACCTGATGCTTAATTTGTTTTGGCCTAAGAAACCTGAGGTTGATGAAGAAATTGAGGTCAACGGATGATGATTTTCCAGAGACATTTTCACAGAGAGAGAGAGAGAGAGAGAAGCCCCGCCGCGTTGTGTGCTATAAACCCTAGCTCACTAGTTGCTTGAGTCTCTTGACGTTTTATCAAAAGCACGGTCCAAGGTTGAACTTGAAGACTGCAAGGGGTAGTAGCACAATCATGCCCAAGGTGCGTTTTATTCCTTCATGCAATTCATAGTGGCAACATCATATGAAAAAGAGAGGTGGTTTAATTATACTTTTTGACCTCTGTTAAAGCACCCATAATCAGCAGCAAACATTGCAGCATAAAATTCAGAGCACACAACTACACATTACACCATACCGAGCAATTTAGTGCGCAATATAATAGCAAGAAGACTCACAAATTAAGATTCAGTAGCAAATACGCATTGCACAAAACTAGAACTTTATTCATCAAGAGCTAAAACTGCCAATGCAAACTTCCTTTGGCCACTAGCCTTAAAGACATCTTGAAGACAAACACAAACCAGCAGAACCGAAAAGAAAATGCACACACATATCTCATCACAATAATTAAATGAACCATAATAAAAGTTATAATCTGATCTCAAAATTTTAAATTTCCTTTTATGGTGTAGACAAACTTTAAAATTTAGATTTCAACCCATAAAATTTAATGGTATAATACTAAAATGTTTTGTTGGGTACCCAATTCAAGAATGAAACTTATGTTCCTGAGCCTCTACCAAATGTAAAATGGGTACTAGCAAATATGTTCCTATCACCCTCTGTTCGTCGTAGATCTATTATGATCTAGATTAGTAAAGATCTAAATCTGTTCATCAAACTCAGATCCAGACCTGTTCGTCAAACAGAGGGTGAACGAAAGCAAATCTAGTCTTCGGTGTGTGTTCTTCGTTCTATCCAGAGAGATACAGATAGAGAGACATAGAGATAGAGAGAGTGATGAGAAACTTACCTTAAGAAGAAGCTGTGTTCTTTGTTCTGTCCAGTGATGTCGTCTTCTTCGTCGACTCTGTGAAGAAGCTCTCACCCACAGATGCAAAAAATTGGAGGACCTCCCCAACGCCACGATCATCTTCGCCTTGTTGCGAACCCTTGGACGAGCTCAGTTGACAAGAGAAAGAGAAAGGGATTCATCGCTGAGTGGGTGGAGAAAGAGGGAGGGGCAAATACGTCTTTGGGGGGTAAACCATTGCTTGTAACCCATGAGCGTGTGTTTGGATACTTGGAGTGGATTGGACAGAATATAAAAACGACAGCCTTGCCTATCCAAACCAAACCCGGCCAAGTTCATATTCGCATTGGAAATGTGTCCATGCTGATGTTTGGTAAACTAATTTTATATCTCCGTGGGGTCTACTAACAAAGGTGATTTAAAAATATTAAAATAATATGTTTTGACTATTACACCCCTTAATCAATCTAATCCGTTTGGATAAAAAAATATGTGGAACTACCTTGAACATTTTTTTTGCCAAAAATTTATTATCCTTGGATCTTGCGAACGCCACTCCTACACCCAAAGCAAATTTTTTTCTTTTCAATCTCAATCTTACACCTCTCTCGGACTCCTATAAATCAACAACCATATTTGACCTTCCCTAAATAAATGGTGCAGCTCATCATCCATACCACCTACCAACCGAAACAGCCTAACATAGCATCCATATAAAAAAAAAATGCATTCACACACCTGACAAAATAATCAAAACATAATACTTCACAATGGACCTAATTAACAATGAGCCACAAAAAATTGCAAGAATACCCAATTTATGGAAACAACTCTGAAACAATGGGCGAGTATGATGATGCTTACTTAAATCATCATTGTATAAAAGAAGAAAACAAGCACCCATTGACATGAACTCTAAAACTTGGATCCGGGAAGCATAAAGTAAAAAAAAAATGGCTAGTCTCCCAGGGCAATTTATTGAATTTGAAGCCAAACTTCAAGAATTCAAATATTTAGTTATTCAAATCCCCATTTGAAAAATCCTTGTGCAGTCTCCCAGGGAAATTTATTGAATTTGAAGCCAAACTTCAAGAATTCAAACAGTTAGTTATTCAAATCCCCATTTGAAAAATCCTTGTGCAGGTAGGGTAGGGATATATCATAATTTAGAAGCTACAACAAAACCCCTCAAGATCCCCAACAACATTCATGGATCTGCTCGTGAGCTCTTCCGTTATTCGTTCGGTCGACAAAGAGAAAGACTCATACCTCCCAGTTGGTTCGTTGCCTTCTGTGATGCTCTCAACCCAACAACTGGCTTTGATTGAGAGGTAAAAGCTCTCCCTTCTCTCTTGTTTTTCTCTCTCTAAAAGCGATCTGAGAAAGTTTTCAAAGGAGTGCTTTGATCCTTGTTACTATCCCACTGACCTTTTTCTTTCCATTTCAATAATGGAAAATAACCTAATGGACCCACCACCTCGATTGACGGAAGAAGACGACCATCTGCAACGAAGCACAAAGAAAATGAAGGAATACCACCTGGCATCGACAGAAGCTGAAATGCTGGTGGACCCATCAATTACTCCCAGTGCTGATGGAGCAGAGTGTGAAATGCCAGAAAACCCAGAAAAAATGACAACTTGTAAGCAGAAAAATTATCTTTCAGCTCTTATGGAGGACAGAAATGCAATTTACTTTGATGAATCGGTTTATGGGGAAACGTCAGAGGATGAATCTCTAGAGGATAAACAGAACGGACAAAAAGGAGGCTCGAAGGAATCTTTTATTGATACATCTGATGAATCCTGGCCACAGATCAAGCTCTCCCAAAATACTTTGTTACGTATTCGCAATAGGTGGAAAGAGGGGCACCTTGTGAAGCTGCCCGACAAGAATATTGGTTATAAAATGCTGTGTATGAAAGTCAGAAATATTTGGGCTCACCAAGGAAACTTTGAAGCAATCGATCTCGATAATAGGTTTTACTTATTCAAGTTCCACATGAGGGAGGCTTGCATCAAAGTCTCCACTAGAGGCCCTTGGATAGTTATGAACCATTATATCACAGTTTGTAAATGGGAACCCCATTTCATCCCATCTAGGGCGTCGAAAATCACCACTGGTATCTGGTTAAGATTACCAAAACTTCTAGTTGCATACTATGATGAGAAGACCTTATTCCTGATTGCATAGGCATTAGGGAAACAAATTAAAGTTGACATTAAGACAACTATAATGGAAAAGGGGAAGTTCGCAAGGGTTTTTGTGGAAAGGGATCTTAGCAAATCTCTAATTTCACAATACAAATTGGGCAATAGGATTTTTAGAGTGGAATATGAGTGCCTCTATATGATTTGTTTTGGTTGTGAAAGAGTAGGACACATGGAAACATATTGCCCCCATTTGAAGAAAAAAGATTCTCCGATGGTGGTCAAAGCGCATGCAGCAATCGGAGAAGAATCACATAACCCAAGGCAAGTTAACTCTGACACCCAAAAACGGTCACTTGTTAACTCAGAGTCAACCCAGGTTAGGTCTGGATTCTTTAGAGGCTAAGTTTGGGCCTTGAATGAAAGCCCAACCTAGGAGAAGAAGAATGCAGAGTAATAAGAGTCTGGTTTCTTCAAGGGGCCAATTTCAACCCAATCGTTTTCAAGCCTTACAAAACCAGCCCTAGGAGGATTTGAGAACTCAAAACCGTGGCCAAGCCCATACAAAACTAAATCAACGCCTCCCTAGCCCACTTACTAAGACAGGAACCCAATCTGGGTCAAGAAGAACTTGGGATCAGATATCCCAACAGAATATAACCCGAACCAGTACCCATAACCCAAAGGAAAAAGTCTCTGACGCCTCAATTTCTTCATAGGCATCTAAGGGTCTCCAAGGTGCATTGGTTCTTGGCCCCCATCCAATGGACATGGATAGAGGGAGGAATAGGAATGAGAAAAGACAAAGTTCAGATGATTTACCCATTGCCTCTTGAATGCAAGGAACCCTAAATGCCTCTACCTCTTCTTCGCCTACACAGTTTCCTCCCCCAAACCCTTTGTCCTCCTCATCGATTATCGATGGTTCCCTCCAGATTAACCCTAAAACCCCCTAACCCATGTTCTTATAAAATAGGAAAACGCGATGGAAACCTCCCTACTAAAGTCTTTTCATCTGAACAACAGTTCAATGGGACTTCTCTTCTTCCCAGAGGAGGAATGCAAGTGGATATCGTTGGTTCACTTGGCGATAGAAACAACCACCCTAGTGGTGGAACCATGCAATCTCAACTCATCGGAGATTCAAGCCATTGCAGTATCGTTGAGATCAACAATACCAATTGAAGAGTGCAACAAACTTGCAGCAAATAAGTTGGATATGGATGTGTCTCATATTTTTTTACAGTTTCTTATGGTGTCCTCCATGAAGATGCTTGCTTTGGAATTGCAGAGGTGTTGGTAATAAGAAATTTAGAAGTATCTTTAATGACTTCTTTAGAGCTCACAAGCTTGATGTGGTTGTTCTTTCGAAAACAAAAATTCATAGCTTTCAAATGGGAACCTTCTTTGAGCAACTAGGCCTTACTGCCTCAAAAACTATGGAACCTGACGGAAGAAAAGGGGGCATTTGGCTCTACTGGGACCCATCTAATATTGATATTAGTATTAAGGGTTGTTCCAACCAAGCCATTCATGCCACTATTTCAAGCAGGGATATTAATGAATGGTTGTTCACCGCTGTGTATGGGAGCCCTAACCCCAGTGTTCGGGATCAGCTTTAGGATGATCTTAGTTGCACAGGTGATAATTTTAATTTTCCTTGGATGGTGGCTAGGGATTTCAATGACTTTTCTAGCCACTCTGAGGGAAGGGGAAGAATGATGGACCACTCTTGAATCCAGAAGTTCCAAGGAAAGAATGAACAATTGTGGTCTTATTGATCTAGGATGCAATGATCTTAAACTCACATGGAATAAGTAGAGAAAAAGCCTCACTAATACCAAAAGCAGACTTGATAGAGCTCCGGTGAACTCAGAATGGATTGTTCAGTTTCCTAAGGCGTCTATTGCTAACCTTCCTAGAACCTATAAAGCACGGATACTTCGTTGAAATCGACGTATCCGTATCGGATACTTTATCAAATACGATACTCGTCGGATATTAAAAGACACGTATCGAATACATCTCCTACATATCCGATAATAATTAAATATTATGATACTTCATCGATACTTTTGTGTTCAAGCAATATATATAATTTTTTAGTTGAGTTTTTAACATTTTCTTTCGAATTCACATACCATACAATACATTTACAAAAATTCACACTACTTCAAAGACACATGAGTATTTTTTAAATATTATCTATAATTACATGTCAACAAAGCATAAAATAAATTTATTATATTATAGTCTTAGTAAAAATTACTTCTAAATAAACTGACTTGGTAAAGATTAACTTTGATTCCTTTAATTAATCAATTCACTTTGTGAATATACCATAGTGATATGATATATATTTTCTTCAAACTAAAACGAATTACTAATTTTTTTTATTGTGTTAAAAAATTACCAAAATATATAAATATTATATTGATTAAAAATAATAAATATATTAAATATATTTTATTATAGATATATATTAGCCGTACTCGTACCCGTATCCTTCTTTTTTATATTTTGTCGTATCACCGCATCCGTATCGTATCCGTCAGTGTTTTGAAAAGTTCGCCTAGGCGAGAAGCAAGGCGAACATGAACGAAGCGAGAAAAAACGAAAAAACGAAGAAGCGAAAAAAACGAACACTTTATTATAAGAGACGATTCTGCTCCCCCCCCTTTTTTTCTGATCACAGGTTAGTAGTCTATTTTATTTTTTAATCACTGATAACTTTTTTTTTAGACTATCGCTGGTTTATTTTTTTTATATTTTTTTTTCTGATAAGTAATGTTCCGAACAAAACAAATTCCTTTTTTTTTCTTGTGTTGTTGAATTCATTTAGAATATTTGTGGAATGTGGGAGTCTGGCGACTGCATGACAAAATTATGATAAAGAAAGGAAGCAAGAGTATCAAGAATGAGGGTAAATAATAGAGTCTTCTACAAAGAAGTGTCTCTGATATATCTTGGTTATACTTTTCCCTTTTCTTATATATATACAAATGGTACCAAAAAGTGGTCTATGCTTATACCATGTTTAATTATTTTAGTACATGTGAAATGTGTCTCTGTTCTGCTTTTTTTATTCA